AGGCGCATCGCCTTCCCCGGGGGGGAGCCGGACCCAGCCCCCAAATTCCCAGCTCCCTCCAGCTCAGCCCCACCTCCAGCCCTCAAACTCCCAGCCCCAGCCCCAAATTCTCAGCTCCAGTTCCAGCCCAAGCCCCAAACTTCCCATCTCTAGCCCCAGTCCCCAGCACCCAACCCCCCAGCTGCTGCCCCATTTCCCAGCCCCTGCCTCCAGCCCCCCAGCCCCTAGCTCTTAGCCGCTGCCCACAGCGCCCACACCCCCATCCCCAAGCCTCCAGCCTTAATCTCCCTGTCTGGCCCAGCCAGGCTGCAGTGGAAGCTGTGCATGCTCACTGCAGAGGGGAGATGGCTGCAGCGCCAGCGCCAGCTCAGGTAAGCAGCCTGGGGATGGTGGGTGGGGGGCACGGGGGTAGCAGAGGAGAGCACTGGGATTGTGCCACAGGCCTGTTCGTTTCATTGCCAGTCCTCTTGTTTTTGCCTGGGGAGAGACAGTTCATGGTAAATCCCTAGTGACCGTCTCGTCGCCATTTCATATTCTGCAAACCCTTCTCCTGTTCCCCTCAAGCGTCTCTCTCCTGAACAGACCAGGCCTGGTCTCCTTTGTCTCTACTCACGGGGAAGCCTCCCCACCCCAGACCCCTCATCATCCTTGCTACCCTCCTCCGCCCTCTCTCGTCTCTCCAGGACCCGGTGTCTTTTGAGGACGTGGCTGTGTACTTCACTGAGGGGGAGTGGGTGCTGCTGGGTGCCTCACAGAGAGCCCTGTACTGGGAGGTCATGCGAGACAACTACGAGGCTGTGGCCTTGCTGGGTAAGCGGGTCCTGGCCTGGCACCCGGGGAGGGGGGTGGGCGGGTGGGCAGAGCCCCTGGTCAGCTTCTGCTCAGGTCCTGCAGACTTCAGGAGCCTTAAGGCAATCCCTCCCCAGAGCTTGGGGGAGGCCCCGTGGGCAAAGTGGGGAGTTGGAGAGCAGCCTGGGAGGGATGAGTGGGGGGCAGGCGATATGATCTCTGGGGTCACGTTGGTCCTTTGCCACATCTGATCCACAGACCCAACACTCATGGTTGAGGGTGGGGGGAGGGGGGATCCTTTGATATGCACCTCCTCCCTCCAGTTTCCACCTCCTGGCCTGGGAGAAACCTGGGATAAGAAGGACGAACATCCTCTAGGATCCCCCCTGATGCCGCTCCATGCTTCCCTTCTGAGCAGGCTTCCCCATATTCAAGCCTGTCATGATTGCCCAGCTGGAGCAAGGGGAAGAGCCCTGGGTCCCGTCCCCCCCAGGTGCTGATCATCAGGTGGAGATGGTGCCCAGAGACACCTGTGCAGGTGAGGAACAGCTACCCTTGGCTCTGGAGGGGGAGGGAGGGGGGCACTTGAGGCCTCATGTGGAGATCTGCCCCTTCCCTAGGGACAGCTGCCTCTCTGGGTTCTCCCGTGGATCATTTTACTCCACGGCACGTGGCCTCGTACAGACGTTCAGTTTCTCCCAGAGAGTTGCTGCTGTCCAGGAAAAACCACGAGTGTACAGACTTTCAGGCTTTTCCCCCCAGAGTGCACATGACTGCTTCAGGGGAAAAATAACCTGGGAACAACCTGGGCTGATGTGTCTTTGCTTTCCCTCTTTCCTAGCACCTTTGGGGACCCAGAACCCACTGGTCCCTGCAACTGAGAATGGAGATGAGAGTCCCCAGGAGCCAGGATGGCCCCCCAAGGGCCCTGCTGAGCGCCCCCACGCCTGCCCAGACTGTGGGAAAGCCTTCCGGCTGCGCTCCCAGCTGGCCACACACCAGCGCGTGCACACCGGCGAACGCCCCTTCTCCTGCGAGACCTGTGGGCGCTGCTTCTCCCAGAGCTCCAACCTGGCCAAGCACCTGGGCACACACCGTGGCCACAAGCCCCACGCCTGCCCGGACTGTGGGAAGGGCTTCAGCCAGCGCTCGTCCCTACTCACCCACCAGCGCCTGCACACGGGTGAGACCCCCTACCACTGCCCTGACTGCGGCCGTGGCTTCCGCGTGGGCTCACAGCTGGCCACACACCAGCGCCTGCATGCCGGACGCATGCCCTACCGCTGTGGGGTCTGTGGGAAGAGCTTCAGCTGGAGCCGGCACCTAGCTGCCCACCAGCAGCTGCACACCACTGTTGGCACGCCTTGACCACCTGCCCCAGCCCTGGGGAGAGAGGGGACACCTTCCCTGGCCCAGTTGGATGTGGAAGAGAGAGAAGAGCCCCCCAGAACCCACTCTGTGATTCTTCGTCTGAAACCATGAAGATGAACCCCAGCCAGACCCTGTCTCCATGCCCTGCCATGCTCACAGAGACTAGTGTTGGGGGCTATCGGGGCAGATGGGCTCTGTGCTCTGCTCCATCATGTCGTGGAGGCATTTGATGTGGCTGGCTCCCCATGGCATGGATGTACAGGCAGGAGGAGGGGAGCTGGTGGACAGAGGAGGGACCCACAGCTCCGTGGCAAATGTGGGGAGTCAAGGCATTGGGCTGGAAGAGTCTCAGTCACAGTCCGGTAGGGACCCCATGGGGGCCCCGAGCCTGCTTTCTAGCAACTGCCTTCACCCCAGCAGCACCTGCGCAGGGTCTTAAGTCACCCAGCACCACTAGGCCCCTTTATAACCATGGAGGCATGCCTGAGCTAGATGGTGTTTGTCTGCCATTTAGACCCTGTGTCCTACCCAGACAGGAGAGAATTGGTGATGTGCTGGATCCTGCAGGGGACAGAACGACAAGTGAGACCAAGGCAGAAGAGGAAGAATAAGAAGAGAGGAATAGGTGGGGATCTGGGGTTTTGAAAATGGGGATGTGGAGGGTGGGTGCATCATCACATAAATCACAGCACATATTCTCCTACAGTTCTAGAGAAGCTAGAACAGGGGTCAGCAATGTTTTTGGGCAGAGTGCCACAAACACTTGCAATCTTGACTTCAAAAAGTTGGCATGCCAGGGGCAGATGGTGGGGTACCATGAGGGGCCTGATCCCTGTTGCAGCGCAGCCCCAGGGCTTTCCCTGAGGCATGAGTGCCAAGCAAAATGCCTTTGTGTGCCACACTGGCACATGCGGTGGGGGTTGCATACCCCTGAATTAGAAGCTCTTACTGATCTGCTAGGGGCATAAGGCTACAGAGCTCAGTCTAAGTTCAAAGTGAAAACATCATGTTATTGGAATGTGCACTCATTTACTAGCAGGTGTTTCAAGCTTAAAAAACGCCACCAACCAGGCACAAATATATAGTCCTATTAGTCCCGTTGTCATGATTGGTAAATGTATGTCTCTGAGTGAGATTCATAAAACAAAGTCCACCCTTCTTGAGCATCCTGACAGTGCCCCCAGCACTGTCACTGTCAGTCCTTTCTGCACCTGAGCCAATGTTCACCTGAATTTATATGACTGCACCTGACTGCAGGTTTCTAGCCAGAGCCAAGAACAGTCTGCAGGGCTGTGAAACGAAAGAGAGACATTGCCAGATCTGGCTAACAGACAGCAATGTTAATTCATAGCTTGATTAATGCAGCTTCAAGACCATAAAAAAAAGAGAGGGCTGCTAACACCTGTGGAGTGAGGAGAGATTAGCAGGAATCAGGGAGATGACAGTGAGCCATGAAGTCAACGGGCTGCCTCAGCGCTGCCTGGATGGAAATTCTGCTGCCCTCTCAGGCAATTGGTGTTAAGAGGATGCTGGGGACAAGCATGTGGGAGTCACTAGCAAGTTGTGGGCCAGATCAGGGAGAGGCGGTGCCCCTCGCCCCACACATGGACATGCCTCACACACAGCTCCTTCCCCATCCAGTGCAGGGGGCTGTGCCCAGGAGACTCACCCTCTCACAGCCCTGTGGGTCTCACAGACAGAGGAAGAGGAGCCAGCAGCAGCAGCTGCCCCCCTCCCAGGTGACCACCCCCCAGGCTGAAAGACAGCTCCCTGCCTGGCTCCTGCCAGCCTGGTGTGGAGTGGGGAGAAGGCGGGGATAAGGGGCCCTCTCTGCCACACAAGCCTTGATTCCCCATGTCTGGAGCCTGGGAGAAGGATCTCACCACTGTTGGCAGATGATAGAACAAGGAGCAATGGTCTCGAGTTGCAGGAAAGGAGGATAGGTTGGATATTAGGAAGCACTTTCTCATTTGGAGGAAGGTGAAGCACTGGACCAGGTTACCCACAAGTGGTGGAATCTGCATCCTTGGAGGTTTTGAAGACCTGGCTAGACAAAGCCTTGTCTGGGATGATGTACTTGGGGGTGGTCCTGCTTGGAGCAGGGGGCTGGATTAGATGTGACCTCCTGAGGCCCCTTCCAGCCCTCAGTGTCTATGATGTACCCCAATCCCCTGTGTTAGTGGGGGGCTGCCCTAGGGGAGCTCAGAGCAGGGGGCAAGGCAGAAGGAGGGGGTGGTGGGTCTCTGTGCTGCCTGCCAGCTCCTGAGGGGCCAGCCCCAGGTCGGGAAGGTTTCCTGCCCCTCTTGTGAGCTAAGATCAAGTGTAGGGAGCCTCTAAGGTCCCAGACTAAGGAGTGCATGCTTGCCTGTCATGTCTGTGGGGCATCCAAACCCCAAGACCTCTGGCACAAGGGACGCTTGCCAAGGGATTTGGGAGCACCCGGCGTCCCAGGGTGATGCGTCTGGGACGGAGGATGCTGCCGCCATACATGTGTTTGCCACGACTGAGTCCTGCCTGCCCAGTCGGTGTGGTTTTGGGAGAGATTGAGATGTGCTCGGTCGCTGCGATTTGGGCTGATTTGACCTGGAACACGAAATATATTTAAAAAATACTAATCTGGCGTGGGGCACCCGCTGGAGATGAAGGGGCGGGGGACCCCCCCCTCCCCGGGGCTCCCCGGGCTGCGGGCGGCGGGGGGGGCGGCCCGGGGGTTGGCCTTCCTGGGTCAGCGCGCTGCATCCGGAGCCGGGGGGAGGCGGCGCGGGGCCGGAGCCCGGAGCCCGGCGGGGTGCAT